ATTTTATTTTGCTAAATATCATGGTAGATTTTATCTTTGTTCTCTAGCCAAAAATTTAAGTACATAACTAAATAAGAGACTGTATTTCAGTGTAATAGGAATGCCTTTATTCTCTTTCTACTGAGTATTTAGAAACAGAAGACTTACTGGGAACTGTTTCTTAGATTCATTCTTGCTTCTTATACTTTAAATTTCTTATTTTACTAATGTTTAAACAAAATATAATAAATTTAAAAATATTCTGTACCCATCCACACACTTTATTTTTGGTAGACATAGTTGATTCAACAATAGCTAATTCTAGTTCAAATTATATATTCTATTAGTGTATTTTTTCAACCACGAAGTTCACAAAGGTGTGATATAATAATAATGAGAGTAATGGTTAATAATTTCATATAACTTTACTTGACAATAGTTCTGGTAGAGATAAGAAGTGTGTACTATTTATTTTTTATAATTCATAAGGTGATTCTTCTTTTTAAAAGCTAATCTGGCCGGGCACAGTAGCTCATGCCTGGTGGGTGGATCACCTGAGGTCAATAGTTTGAGACCAGCCTGGCCAACATGGCAAAACCCCATCTCTACTAAAAAAAATACAAAATTAGCTGGACATGGTGGTGCAGGCCATTAATTCCAGCTACTTGGGAGGCTGAGGCAGGAGAATCACTTGAACCTGGGAGGTGGAGGTTGCCGTGAGCTGAGATTGTGCCACTGCACTCCAGCTTGGGCAACAAGGGTGAAACTCCGCCTTAAAAAACAAAACAAGCAAACAAACAAACAACCTAATCTGCTTAAATAATTGTATTAGTTATGATCCCAAAGCATACTAATTATTTGGTGAGTGCATTACTGGATCTTATAAACATACAGAAAGCAGAACTACATTTTTACTTTCTAGTACTAAGCCGAAAAAAATAGGCCTAGCTTCCAGAAACAGGATAATTGCCATCCTGAAAAAGAGTAAAAACATCTTCCAGTTTATAGATTCAAAATTTTTGTGTCAGTAGACCTTGTTGAAATGAAGCTAACGAGATCGGCGATTACATAATCCTGAATGCCAAAAGAGACATGGGAATTCAGCATGAAACCTAGATAAGCAATACAGAGTAATAATCTGTCAATAAGGATGACTACAGTCAATGATAACTTAATAGTAAATTTGAAAATAAAGAGTGCAACTGAGTCGTTTGTAACTCAAAGGATAAATGCTTGAGAGGATGGATACTCCATTCTCCATAATGTGCTTATTTCACATTGCATGTCTGTATCAAAACATCTCATATACCCCATAAATTTATACACCTACTATGTACCCATAAAATCTAAAAATAAAAAATCTGTCAATATGTCTTCAGTAACATCAAAAGAGAAGGTGTCCCACTAAGTAGGTTTAAATATTCTTCTCTGTGGAGCAGGCATATTTCCTCAGGTTCTTCACAAAAACACTCCTTTGGTTACCAGCGCCCTTTCTTTTATAGTGCAAACATTGCTCAGCACTTTCCTGATTAAAAAAAAATGTTTCTAATTACCCTGATAACAGATAACTGTGGTAGTCTCAGCCCCATAATTGTTAACTATTGCACTAACATTTTAGCACTAGTAAGGATGTTATGAATTTGGTGGATACAAACTCATTTTCCCAGGATTGGAAAACTAAATGAAATAAGATCCAAGTTTACAAATCTGGACTCTGGATATATGATAACTTCATCAAGAAATAGCACCTTGTAAGGTTCTGCTTGAAAGACTTTTCCATCCTCACATTACTATAATTTAAAATATTAGTTAACTTTACGTCCTGCACCTGTGAGCAGATATATGTTGCTTTATTTGTATATTTCAGTTCAATCTTCTTCACTAGTTTCAGTATGTACTAGGTATATAGAGGGGTACTCATTGGCACATTCATTTGTTCAATAAATTTTTATCGAGTGCCTTCTATGTTGTAGGAATTTTCCTGAGCACCAGTATGATCTGAAGTATGCACATAATGCCTCAGAAGTATGCACATAATGCCCTGAGAGCACAGAGGAAAAGCATTTAAATCAAGACTTCCTGAACAAATGTTCTAATTAATATTTAAAGAATGTGTAGGAGTTATCTTCCTAAAGAAGGAGGAAGAGCTATTCTCATAGCTGGAACAGGAGGTGTAAAGGCATAGAGTACAGAATATGAAACAGCATGATAAACAGTTTGGTAAGGTAAGAGTAAAGGACTATTTTAGGAGATGAAGATGGCAAAAGATGCAGCTTATAGAGGGAAGACATAGGTTGATGGTTGTATTTTATTTTATTTTTAAGACTGAAGGGCTTAAACATTAAGGACAAGAGTCATTAGAGAGAAAGGTTGGGCTAGGAAGTAACTGATGGAGCAAAGTGCTTGAGACTGCAGGAGGAGATGGTATCCAAAGCTGCATTATCACAAGTTCCATATCATAGCCAAGGAACTGAAGATGAATATAATTTTTGTTGTGGAGGCCAGTGAAACTATAAAGCCAGGGTATGGAATGAATAATTCATGTTAGAAACATTAAAGATACCTAGAATAATCACAGGACTAGAAATGTAAAGAATATCATGAGCTAGGAACACAACTGTCCGTGGATGACAGGAAACAACCAGGTAGTTAGTAGATGATGAGTGGTAGAGAATAGCATGGCAATACGGCACAGCCTCAAAGGGTAGAGGAATAATGCTTTGAAAATGATAATGGAAAGCAAGAAATGGCTTTCTAATCTCTATGAGGTATATATATATGTAGAGAAAATGATCAGCTTTTATATGAGAGGAAGTAGTATCATGTGGGGAAAGTTGGGTTTCAGTTAGACAAAGGAGATGAAGAATGAGAAGAGTTTGCATAACATGCAATGGATTCTACAACACAAAGTGGAAAAGGTTGACAGAAGGAGCAGTAGTGGGTAGAAAAGTGTAGTGAGTGAGGAAAACAGACTAGAGAACTGAAGAATTGGGAGTTGAAGAATGATACTAAAACAAGAGAATCCTAAGTTTGAATACTGATTCCCTAAATACCTGTGAGGTATGGCAGGCTACATCATCTTTAGCATGAACTTTAGTTTCTTTATTTGTAAAACTGAGTTAATAAAACCTATTCATAGAGTTATAAGTAGCTAATATTTAGCAACCGGCAGGCAATCAATAAAAGGTATCAGTTATTAGTTATAATAAATACATATAAACACATTGTAGTATATATATACTGCAAACTTATAGTTCAGTCTGATTTAAAAGCTGGTTAGATCCCAATGAGTTACACACTTTCCAAGGGTGAATTTTATGGTATATTAATTTTGTAATTAATTTTAAAAGCTGGTTAGATCAATACATTTTTATAATTTCAAGCATTTGTTATCAAATGAAGCATAATTTAAAACTGCCTACCTTCTATTTTGTTAAGAATTTTAATGAGTAAATGTTTTTCACCATCTGAGTCCATTCTTATTATAATCAGTACCTAGTCAAAAATAAAAATTTTATATATATGTGAATGATTATTCTTTTTCACAGTTTTGATCAGTGACAAAATAACAAACTTTAATTGGTTCTATGAAACTAATGACAATAAAATTACAAAGCAAATATTTCTGTTGTAAAATATGTCAATACTTGAACACGAATATATATATATATATATATATATATATATATATATATATATATTCTGGCAAGATCAAATATCAGTGAAGAAAGTAGTTTGGGGTAGGGCATTCTTAGCATTCTTCAAGTATCCCCACATATGTGACTATCAATACGTAGGTTGTCTCTGTTAGTGTTAAATTCAACCCACACAAGTTTAAATTTGTTGGAGAAAACCAGTGATCTGATGCTATATTTTACTACTTACCATTACAGTTTTGTGGGGGAGAGGTGGGGAGAACAAATCAGTTTCAATTTCAAATTTCTCACTTAGATTAAATTATTTTAATGACTGAAGAAAGTTATTACCCAAGAAACTATAAAATTGAGGTTAAAGATACAGGAAGCACAGAGTGAAAAATGAGAAAAAGACCACATAAATTTATGTCCAGATTTTTAGTGTAAACCATTTTAAAATGCTTTTCTGCTTGATAAGATTTTTTAAAGCATTTTCTGTTAAAACTTCATTAATGCAATCTTGATGTAGGGTGGCAAATAATTATGAATATAATCCAAGGCATAAACTAAATGTTTGTTTTGGTGGAATCATATGAGATTCTGGCTCAGTATTTGAAATAAAAAAAATAAAAATAAAATCAATAAATCATTGTAGTTCTATTATATGTTCATGGACTTATATAAATATTTAAAATAAATACTGGCTCAGTATTTTAAATAAAATAATCATTGTAATTCTATTATTATGTATATGTTCATGGACTTATATAAGTACCAGACAATTGGAGAACTAATCCATAGGAGAACTATGCATAATAACAGTTAAAGTTTATTTATTTATTTATTTAGAGACAGGGTCTTGCTCTTTTGCCCAGGCTGGAATGCAGTGGAACGATCATGGCTCACTGTAGCTTCAACCTCCTGGGCTCAAGAGATCCTCCCATCTCAGCCTCTCTAGTAGGTGGAACTACAGGTGCACACCCATGCCTGGCTAATTAAAAAAAAATTTTTTTTAATAGAGACAAGGTATTACTATGTTGCCCAACTGGTAAAGTATGTTTAAATTTGAGACATGAATAATGATGCAAATCATCCTTTCTATGGGTCTGATTCTGTTATCTTATTCAAGGACTAAACCTTCAAGGGGCTAAGTAGTATAAACCACTTCATTACTTCAAAGTTAAATGCAAAAAATGTATATTACATCCAATTCTTTATTTTAACTGATTATTTTACCTGCTTTATTCCAATACTTAACCTTAACTTGCTGTTGACATTGCATCCAACTTTGTATCTGACATTGCAATTCTTGTATCTTGTAGTTGGTTTCAGGCTTTTTCCCCCTAATAAACTGTACGATCTGCAGCTGTCTCCAAATGTCACCCAAATAGGGGCCTAAAATGCTCTTGTAGGTATCTTTTGCCTTTGACAAATATCCTATTAAAGCAAAATTAGAAGAAAATTGCCTAAGTCTTTGTTTTATAAGAAACTCCATGGTAAAAAGACTGAAAGAAAATAAGTCAAAGCAGAGACAGTTAAAATTTCCTTTGTTTTCTGATTTTGATCAAAAATACTGACTAATAAAAACTAATAAAAAAATTTAAAACTGAGTGAAGTTTAAAAATATGTAACACATAGCTCTTTTTAAGCTGCATATATATACATTAATATATGTTACATACTTGCTGAATATATATTCTATTCTTTCCTGCCTCCTGGCTTGTTGAATGCTATCACACTCTTCCTTAATCCCTGTATCTATATTTACATTGCAAGTCTTGTTGAAATGCTACTTAAGTGGAATTTTCTTGGTATTTTATCTATATAATGTTTGTACTTGATATCTGCTTATTTATGTATATCACTTAGCCTATAAGCTCTTTGGGGGTAGAATGTGGCATTTATATTTATACATATTTAATTCATATAGCTGCTAAAACAGCAGTGCCTAATTCACACTCACTAAGGGCAGTTTTAAATATAGATTCATCCTTGAAGTTTCATATTCAGTACATCTAGATTGTGTCCTAATTATTTCTATGTCTTAAAAGCTATCCATGTGATTCTGCTGCACAGAATTTTGTAAATTAGTGCGCTAGAGGACCTGACAGTGGTAACTCATGTAGATCAGGTGTTTAATGAATATTTGGCTAACAAATAAAATAATAAATTAAAAAAATTAATGTTTATGTTCAAGTTTTATATGTATGTGCATATTAATTCTACTTTTATATTAAAATTGCTAGACTAATGGGCAACTTAGAGACTGACTTATGTTCTTTCTGCCTCCTCATCTTCAGACCTCCCACTCACTCTCTATATTGCCATCAGAATTAACCTTTTGAAAAATAAATGTAATCCAATAGCATCCCTGAAATTCTTTTGTGTGGCTTAAAGGGCTTTCCATGAGTTGGCTCTTTCTTGTTTCTCCAGGCTTTAGCTCCTGTTACCTTCTACTTGTCCTCTTCAATCTAGCCGTATGGAACTGCTGGCAACATATCCATTGGTTCATTCCTCTGGGCTCTTAATTCTGCCTAGAATACTCTTTTATACTGTATCTACTTGACAAACTTTTACTTATTTTTTAAAAAACATATTCATCTTAAGGATAATAGTCTCCATCCTTTGCGCCACTACCATATATCTCTGTTGTAATACTTGTCACATCCCATAATAAATACCGAATTTATTTCTGGGTTAAAACCCAGAAGAGAAACTCTATTATTCGAACCTAAAACTCACTACCTTGCCAGAATGTATGTAATGCTTAGTATATTAGAAAAGAAGTCTACATAATTTCTTATAAGGTGTATCTTTTTTAAAAAAGTAAGTTATTTCAGATGAAATATTTAATAGAAAGAAAAGGGGAAATAAAATATTCCCAACCCAATGCTGTGTCCAAGCTGCATGTTAAAAGGACATCTCTAATTGTTACCAGAAGATGTAAAAGAGCAGCATGCTTGAATGTCATTTCTCTTTCATCATTTGTACCTAAGTAAGAAAAACATATTTTAAAACATAGACAATATACTACAGTTTCAGAATGTGTATCAGAATCTGCCTACTAATGGGAGCTACCATTTATTATTGAGTGCTTACTATATGCCAGGTTGTACATAAGCTGGCTATTTCATTGAATCCATAACAGTAATCCTATCAGACAAGTTTATTATGATCAAAATTTTATGAATGAGGAAATAGTATTAATGAGGTTAAGTAACTGTCTAAGGTCAGTTAGTGAGTAAATGGTAGAGCTGTCATTCAAACTCAGACAGCTAACCTTAGAATTCATGTCCTTGTTGCTTCCAAAGAATATTCACTTATTTCTACTCCTATTGGGAAAAAGAGTCAATGGTTCCCAGTTATGAAACAAGATAAAAATAAATTCATAACTTACCAACTGATTAAAAGTAGGGGATTATAACATGAAGATATACCCTGAAATGGAGGTAGACACCTAGAAATATTTATTCAAAGGTATAACTCAAACAAGGGATAAACTCACAGGGACAGGCTAATTGCCTAACTGTGTTCCATTTAGTTCCAGAGCTTTTTTGGATGATAGGTTGGATTTTTCTGCATATAAAAGTGAGACCAAGAAGATGGTAATCTAGACCCCTACCCCAATTTAACCAGAGAAGCTCTACTTTTTTCTTTTTCATATATTGGGATCTCATGAAATATTTATTTGAACAAAGAATTCTGCTAAAAAGTTTGCAAATTGATGATATATTCAATGAAGATCAAGGCAAATATGTAGTAGGGAATTAAGAGGCAATAGGAAAGCCAATTATGCGTAATATATTCAGCCCCTAGAAGGACTTGTGGGAACAAGTCAACGATGACCTGCAAGGGCAGAGAAAACATATGTGGGGAACTGGAAATGTAGAAAATGCTTGGAAAATGGAGTACAGACTAGGAAACTAGTTGTGGGAAATGGTCTGACTTCTTTTAATCTAGGTTTACTTAATCGTTACTTGTAGGCTTAGTTTATCTCAATTCTGGGGCCAAAAAAAGAATATTAAGTATAACCACTATTGACTTGCTCGGGATTAACGCAATGTTTTTCCAATTGGATACCCAAAGCCATGTCCCTTTTTAATCATCCATTATATTTCATAAATACTTATGCCTGTATATTTTATAATAATCATCATTCTTCTCAATGATGTTCAAAGCCTTTAGAAGCTCAACCCATATTCAACCAATTTAAAACTTGAGAATTACAGGACTGAAACTATATCCAGAAGACATAAGTTTTTATTTTATGGAAGTCTTGTCTTCATAAAGGCCAGTTGGCTGACAATTGTTCTTTTCTATCCAGTATAATCATTACCAGAATGCCAGCTCCCCAAAGTGTTGATCTTGAGGCTCTTTCTGTGGCTCAGGTATTTCAAGTAGTAAACTATGGATTAACACCTTCCTCTCAGATCAAGTATTCTATCTCAGTAATACTACTGTGACCTCAAGGTTTTAGTGACTAAAATGTTGCTTCCCGCAAAGACTGGGCACTCTATTTGGAAGATTAAATTCAACTTTCTTTTCATTTGTAAAAGACAGTTAACCTTTAAAAAAATATATAGGACATCCAAGTTTAATGAATTTAGAAAATAGACTTTAAATAAAAATAAATTAAGTAGGTTCCAGGTAAGATGGAGTAAGCATACTTCACCCTGTCTCTTCCATTGAATACAACAATAAACACAAACTAGAATACATGAAATCTCTAAAAGGTAAATGGTAGCAAGTGGACTGGAGGAGATCAGATTTCAAAATGCCACCAAACAAGTGGTGAGTTTCCTTTTTTTTTCCACTTATGGTATTTACTAGCCTAGACTAAAGCAGACCAAGGCCCAGAAGTATATACCACCATGTGGACAGAAAGAGCTCCAAAAGAAGGCCTCATTTTGTCTACTATAGAAAACTAGGTTGATGTTATTTCGCTTTCAGAATTTTCAAAAGGTTACTCATTGTCTTTTCATTTGTATTATTTATGTCAAGAAATCTCATGTCACCCGTATCTTTGTTTCCTGTATGTAGCATGTCTTTTTGTTCCTCTGGCTCCTCCTACAGTTCTTTTATATTATTGGTTTTGAGTAATTTGATTACGTGGACCTTGTTTTAGCATTCTTCCTGTCTCTTGTACTTACTGTTCATTGAGATTTTTTGCATCTGTGGGTTTGTAGTTTTCATTAAGTGTAGAAAGATTTCAGTCATCATTTCTTCAAATTTTTTTTCCATTTACTCTTTTCTCCTCTCTTTTGAGAATGCTAATTACCAGAATGTTAGGCTACTTTAAGTTGTTTCACAGCCTACTGATGCTCTTTTATTTATTTTCCATTTTTTCATGCTTTACAGTTTTTGAGAGTAACAGCTTCTATTGCTATGCTTTCAAGTTAACTAATTTCTTTCTTCTGCAATATTTAATCTGCTGTTAATCCCATCCACTATACCTTTAATCTCATGCATTATAGTTTAGTCTCTAGAAGTTTGATCTAGGTATTTTTAAATGTCTCTAACTTTTCAAACAAACAGAAAACAGTTATAAGAAGTTTTGGTGTCCTTTTCTGGTCATTCTAATGTCTTTGTTGATTCCGGGTTTGTTTTGCTTGATTATTCTCATTATGGGTTGTATTTTCCTGCCTCTTTGTATACTTCATGATCTAATTGGATGCCAGACATTGTGACTGTTACCTTGTTGTGCATTCATGTATTCATATAAATCCTCTTGTGCTTTATGATGGGATGCAGCTATGTTCCTTGGAAATAGTTTGATCCTTGGTGGGTTGCTTTGTGATTTGTTAGGGAGGTTCAGAGCAGTGATAAGTCTAGGGATAATTATCCCCCACTACTGAGGCAGGATTTTTCTGAGTACTCTCCTTAATCCTCTATTAATTATGAGTTGTTCTAGTCTACCTGGTGGGAACAGCTATTATTCCTGCCCTGTGTGAATGCAGCATACTAGGCCATCTAGTCCTTTCCGATGATTTGTTTCTCTAACTCCATGTAGTTTCCTCACATATATTATTTGTTTGTTTTTGAGATGGAGTCTCGCTCTGTTGGCCAGTTGGCATGCAGTGGCATGATCTCAGCTCACTGCAACCTCCGCCTCTCAGGTTCAAGCAATTCTCCTGCCTCAGCCTCCAAAGTATCTGGGATTACAGGTGCATGCCACCACACCAGGCTAATTATTGTATTTTTTAGTAGAGATGGGGTTTCACCATATTGGCCAGGCTGGTCTTAAATTCCTGACCTCAGGTGATCCACCTACATCGGCCTCCCAAAGTGCTAGGATTATAGGTATGGGTCACCAAGCCTGGCCACTTCACATATATTCTTTGATCAATCATCTGCTGAATACTCAAGAGATATCCTCTGCACAATTCTATACTTTCTGTGTGAAGCTCTCTGCTCTCTAACATTCTGTTTTGAACTCTTATCTGTCTTGGTCTTCCTGGACTCTCACCTGTTTCTTCAACTCAGATTGTCCACCAGGCTCTGCCTCAGGTAACTTTCCCTACACCATGGCCTGACAATTCTTTCAAGACAGTTACCTAGGGTAATAGTAGAGCTCATTTCACTCATTTCCCTTCTCTCAAGAACCACTACTTTTCATTGCCTGATGTCCAGGGTCTTTCAAAACCGGTTTCATGTATTTTGTCTTTGTCTTTTTTTTTTTTTTCTTAGGAGGGTAAATCTAGTCCCTGTTACTCCATCTTGGCAGAAAGAAAAAGTCTAGGATTGATTTTAGTTTTTGGGGAATGATCCAAGATGGCTGATCGCTAACATCTCGGGATTGCAGCTCCCAGTGAAAGCTCAGAGAACAAGAGGACGCCACACTTTCAGACAAACTTTGGTCGCTCACGGAGCAGAAGATTCCCAGTGGAGGAGCTCCATGGGTCGCCAGCATGATTCTTGTGGCCGGCGCAGCGGTTTCACTGGCACCTTGGCGTGGCAGCTCTCGGTGTAGAGTAAACGGGACTGGTTCCCCTTCTGACCAAGGTTTGGAGGAGCCACATGGGTCGCCAGCACGACTCTTGTGGCCGGCACAGCGGTTGTGATAGCACCTCGGCGTGGCAGCTCTTGGTGCCGAGTAAACGGGACTGGTTCCCCTTCTGACTGAGGTTTGGAGCTCCAGGAAGGCAGAGTTGCCTATTATGGACTCAAGAAGGAAGCCAGACTGGAGATTCCCGGGTAGAAAAGCACCATCAGTCTTAATGCGGCTGTTTTGGCTGGCGCAGTCAGTTGCTCATATTTCGGCCCTGGGCATTAACTTGGACCCACTCAGCAACCTAATTTGAAAGTTGGTAATTACAAAGACGACAGGGGGATAAATTTACAATGATGGGAAGAAATCAACATAAAAAGGCTGAGAATACTCAAAATCAGAACGCCTCTCCCTCTAAAGAGGATCACAATTCCTCATCAACAAGGGAACAAGACTTGATGGAGAACAAGCGCATCCCATTAACAGAATCAGGCTTCCAAAGATGGATAATAAGAAACTTCTGTGAGTTAAAAGAACATGTTGTAGCCCAATGTAAAGAAACTAAGAACTTTGAAAAAAGGTTTGACGAAATCCTAATGAGAATAGACAACTTAGAGAGGAATATAAGTGAATTAATGGAACTGAAGAATACAATGCAGGTACTCTGAGAAGTATGCACAGGTTTAAACACTCGAATTGTTCAAGCAGAAGAAAGGATATCAGAGGTCGAAGTCCAACTTAATGGAATAAAATGAGAAGACAAGATTAGAGAAAAAAGGATAAAAAGGAATGAGCAAAGTCTCCAAGAAATGTGGGACTATGTGAAAAGACCAAATTTACGTTTGATAGGTGTACTTGAATGCGACAGAGAGAATGAATCCAAGCTGGAAAATATTCTTCAGGATATTATTCAGGAAAATTTTCCTGAACTAGCAAAGCAGGACAATACTCAACCCCAGGCAATACAGAGAACACCACAAAGATATTCCCCAGGAAGAGCAACCCAAGGCACATAGTCGTTAGATTCACCAGGGTTGAAACAAAGGAGAAAATACTAAGGGCAGCCAGAGAGAAAGGTCAGGTTAATTACAAAGGGAAGCCTATCAGACTTACAGCAGATCTCTCAGCAGAAACTTTACAAGCCAGAAGAGAGTGGGGGCCAATATTCAACATCCTTAAAGAACAGAACTTTCAGCCCAGAATTTCATATCCAGCCAAACTAAGCTTCACAACTGAAGGAAAAATAAAATCTTTTATGAACAAGCAAGTACTCAGAGATTTTATTACCACCAGGCCTGCTTTACAAGAGCTTCTGAAAGAAGCATTACACATAGAAAGAAACAACCAGTATTAGCCTTTCTAAAAATGTACCAAAAAATAAAGAGCATCAACATAAAGAAGAATTTACATCAACGAATGGATAAAACAGCCAGTTAACATCAAATGACAGTAACCCTAAATTTAAATTGACTCAATCCCCCAATCAAAAGATACAGCCAAAACCCAACGGCATGTTACATCCAGACCCATTTCACATGCAAGGATACACAAAGACTCAAAACAAAGGGATGGGAAAAGATTTACCAACGAAATGGAGAGCAAAAATAAATAAATAAATAAAAAGCAGGAGTTGCAATTCTCTTATCTGATAAAATAGATTTTAAAGCAACAAAGATATAATGGTAAAAGGATCAATGAAACAAGAGCTAACGATCCTAACACCCAGATACATAGAGACTTAGACTCAATGAGACAGAAAATTAATAAGGATATCAAGGACTCAAACTCAGATCCAGAACAAGTAAACTTAATAAATTTTTATAGAGCTCTCCACTTTCAATACACAAAATATACATTCTTGTCAATACCGCATCACACCTACTCAGGTTTAAATGAAACATTGGCCATTATTAATACCCATTTTTTTTTAGAATAAAGCAACATTTCTGTTCTCTCTCCTTCTTTTTCTTCCTCTTTCTTCCTCTCCTTCACTCCTTTTTTTTCTTTCCTTCTCTCAAAAAAAGAAAAAAAAGAAATCAACTTGTAGACCTCTAGATCCAGGTCGGCAATGTCTCTTTCATTGCTTGATTTCCCTCCTTCCCTTCTCTCTCTCCCTCCCTCCCTTCCTTCCTCCCTCCCTTCCTCCTTTCCTCCCTTTCTGCCTTCCTCCCTTCCTTAAAAAAAAAAAAAATCTAGTTTTTGACCTACTTTTTTGGGAGGAGACAGAGTGGTTCAGATTCGGACAACAATAAAGTTAATAAAGTTTCTGCAATAGGAATCTGTCAAGTGATACATGTCAATTAGGAGCTTCACTGAGAAGCAATGCCAGGATCAATACCAATGATATTTCTTACCTTTTTCTCTACTTAGCTGATCCTTCAGTATTGGTTTGGCTGGGTATAATAAGCTGAATTACAGTCATGATATAACCTATGACTAATTTCTGAATCTTCTATATTCAATTTTTACTAATTTGATACAATAATTTCTAAATATAGCTTTTTAAATAATGTGACTTTTATTTGAACTCACCTTGGTAAACAGCATCACTTACTACTTTTTCTTGTTCCTTTAAGAGAAACCTTGTTTGGTCAAAAATAACAGTGGCAAATTTCCAATTAGCAGTAGGGAGAGTACAGAAAGATATAAGGTTTTTTAAGATAGGAGAAGCTGCCGCTTCAAGGAGGCAAAATGCTTGGCACTGGCTATCTGCAAAAATAAAAGCAGTAATGGCAGTGTTTTAATAAAGATGGTATGCTCTTTTTGATAAACCAATTAAATATGTTATTTTGTGGAAATCTGAACTTCTATCTGAATTATTTTCTGAGTTAAAAATCATGAGATTATACAAAAACTTATTTTAAGATATTTATTCTACATAGACTAATTAAAAAACTCATGGAATTATATAATTTTATGGCTATATTATTTGAGAGGGTTTATTCCATAAATAACTTGACATGGCAAATATAAAGACCCATATAAAGAGAATTGCATTTTTAAAATTTGTCATTCTCCATTAGTAGCATACAATCTTAAGCCAAACAATGAAAAATTGTTTCCAGTTTTCTCAAGAATAACATTAACAATTTGCGTAATCATCTACAGACCACAAGAATGAAAAGATGAGAACCTGGGTCATATTTCCTTATTGATTTTAATAATGAACCTGATGTTCTTAAGCAGGCTGTTCTTTAGAGTTGAAGAATATTCTTCTTTACAGCATAACAAAAAAATCAATATAGGAATCAATAGTAACTTATTTACATCCCTCTGATAGTGGGTAAGAGAACACAGAGAGCATGATTAGCAGTTCATTTTCCAGTCTGGGCGGAAGAGTCCAAGGAGGTACAGTTGTTCTCAGATTGATATAGGGAAGCAGCAGTAGTTTAAATTAAAGAAGAAATAACACTGAATGGTTTGGGTAGGGCAATGGGGGAGGTAGGAGCAGTGGACTGAGCATTTCAGGTTGGAATAAAACTTGAAAGTAGGAGTGGAATGAAGAAATATCTGAAACAAGTGAAGAAAATGACGTGGAAAATGCAGTATGTCCTAGCTGTCTAGGAAAGGGCTTTCAAACTAAGCAAATCTGAATGCATTTTAAAAGCATATACCATACCTGATGCTTGAATTTCAATGACATTATCTGTTCCCCTTTCCTGATTTATTTCCTCTAGGGTTTTATTAATATGAATGATAGGACTTTCTTCTTGAAAAGTCAAAGAACATTCTTCTTTATCTTGAAATTCCAATAAAAAATATAAATTTGTGTTTTTCAAGAGAAACTTAATGTTGTTTTACATTAATTGTTTTTCTAAAATATGATCACAGTTGTTAAATTTCTTCATTGAAACACATCAGTATTAAAGTGAACAACTATTTAGATCAATGGACCTAACACTGCTAGGTAAGAAGATGAATGGTAAAAATGGAAAAACCTTTGGTATCAGATCAGTATTTCAAGCTCAGTTCTGACTCAGTTTCCTCATATGTAAAATATGGATACATATATCTGCTTTAAACACCAAGTATAGTTTCTGACACAGAAGGTATGTACCGTTCCCCTTAATTTCTCTGTGACTTTCCATATACCCTTCCTTCTACTACTAATCCTCTCCTCTGCCCCAAACCTTCCCTATTTCCATCTTTTTTTCTTTAACTAGGCCAATTCTTTTTCTTTTCTTTTCTTTTTAAGACAGGTTCTCCCTTTGTCACCCGGGCTGGAGTGCCATTGGTATGATCAGGGCTCACTGCAGCCTCAACCTCTTGGGTTCAAGGCAGTCCTCCACCTCAGCCTCCCAAGTAGCTGGGAACACAGGCATGTACCACCATCCTGGGCTAATTTATTTTTTAAATTTATTATTATTAGTTTTGGTAGAGATAGGGTCCCCTATGTTGTCCAGGCTGGTCTCAAAATCCTGGGCTCAAGGGATCTGCCTATCCAAAGTGATGGGATTACAGGCAGGAGCTACAATGCCTGACCTAGGCCTATGCTTACTACTGCACCCTGCAGGTCTCAGGCATTTTCTATAAAAAGTCATATGTAACTGCCCACCTGAATTCCAGGCGAGCAAAGGCCTCCCCCTTTTGTTTCTTTAGCACTCTGAAGATTTCTTTCCTGGTACTTGCCACATTGTACTGAAATGATCTATCTGCATATCTGACCTACTCTATCACACTGTGAGCTTCTCAAGGTCAGCAACATCATCACATTTATCTCTAATATGTAATTTAGTGCAGGCACAAAGTGTCTAATAAAATGTTAGTTTTCTTTCTTTCTTAGGTATTATAGAGGATTTATTCTTTCCTAGGTATTATAGAGGATTTACACACAAACACAGATACACATAGAAGTCTAGTTATTTTAACTATACAGTAGTATCATTTATCAGTAATATGATTACAAAACAATTCCAGAAACATGTTACCATCTTTAAATACATGGTTAAAAATATAATAGTAGGCTATAGTCTAAACTAGATTAATAATGTTACTTTCAAGTAATACTTTCAATTAACCATAATTAGAATAGATCTGATCAAATAATATTAATTATTAAAATTTTTGAGTGGTCCTAAGAATTTATAATATTACTTGCCCCTGAATTAACTGTAAAATAAGATGAAAAGGAAATATAGTGGCTATAAGCAGTGAATGTAAGACAATTACAACTCAAACAAAAACTGTTAGATAATGTTAGAAAGAGTAATACACAATTAAATGGGCAGAGAAAGTTTTCTTTCAAGTACACATTAAAATTTAAGTTAAAATACTGAAATAGGAGTTACAGCTAAAAGAGAAAAAAGAATGGCAGAATTGACTAACAAAAGTTAGAAATACTATGAATTTGTAAGGCCCTGTTGTAGAAAGCAAGTTTTACAAATAGTGGCTTTTGTTACAAATTCAAATGCACTTTTACATTTTTTGACAAATACGTATCTATATCTAAATTATGCCTATATATCCATAAACTATCTGTATACAAGAAGTCTCAAGAATCAATGACATTTTCCTTAACTATAAAAAATAATATTTTATCTACAAGAGCTTTATTTCCTTTTCTTCTATAATAAATTATGTGTTTAGTCCTGAGACTACCATATCTACAGCAAAATATTATTATATTACCTACCATGTTTTTCATCACTGTTGGTGACTTCAGTCTTTGAGGTGCAAGTCTTATATTTATTTCCTTATGAAGAAAGAATAGGATTTATCAAACAAGTTGATCGTTAGAAAATATTTCTGGTATTTCTGAATGTAACAATATATAAATATTGAAAGTTTCCAATGTCCCTGGCCATTAGGTTGAACTAGTGTGTACTGAATTTTAGGAATAAACAATAGCAGTCAATGAATAAATAAATATTGTTGTGTTTATTTCATCAGGGTAACCAATGTCAAACTTATTCTGAAATGACTGTTTTCTTTTTATGAGAGGTAAAATTTTATCTAGAAGAGCTTTATTTCCTTTTCTTCTATAATAAATTATGTGTTTAGTCCTGAGACTACCATATCTACAATAATTTAAAATATTATTAAATTACCTACCATGTTTTTCATCACTGTTGGTGACTTCAGTCTTTGAGGTGCAAGTCTTATATTTATTTCGCAGCATAATAAAATCGTTCAAAAGGTCTAAATCATTCTCTTGTTTTTTACCATGTTCAAAAAAAGATGCTTTTTTACTTATTGAATAGGAAGATGATTTAATAGATGGTCCTATGCAGTCAAGTTCAAAGTGATCTTCATTTTCTTTCTTTTGGATTATTCTATTTACTGGTTCTTGGTCATTTGTTGGTTTTTCCTCTTTTGCTGGTCTTTTATCAGAGAAACGTTCATCAGAAAAACATAGATCTAGTACTTCTTTTGCCAGAGGTAGACTCTTTTGTGGAAGTGATAAATGATCATTTGTAGATTTTTCATCAATAAGTGCAATAGGTGAAGAATGACTTTTATGTTCTAAACATGCTGAAAACAGAAAATAAAAAAATACACAAATAACCTCCACAAGTGTTCTATTAGGTATTCAAATAACTTAGTTGTGGTTTCTTATTAATGTAATTTGATCTTTAGGAGTACCTTGTTTTCTGCTTTGAAAATCAATTTTTGGTCTAAATGAAATAAATTTTTAAAAAGGATCAAAATTTAGCACCCTTTTTCTTATTACAGGAGCTAGTTTACCAAGCAAAGAAATTCCAGTAAAGCCCTTTTGCTGATAGGCTTATGAGTCACAGCCTTTGAGGTAACAGTTACTCTATGGGTCAAATACTTACTTATCAGGCAAGCCACAACAGAAAAAAATTCTTGCAATACATATAACTGACAGAGGACTGTATCCAAAATACACAAAGAACTCTTAAAACTCCATATTTCAAAAGGAACCCAATAAAAAATTTGGCAAAAGACTTGAACAATAGTTCACATAAGATATGCATATTCCTCAAAATAGATGAATCTTGAAAACATGCAAAGTGAAAGAAGTGTCACAAAAGGCCACATTTTGTAGGATTCCATTTATATAAAATGTCCAGAAAAGGCAAATCTACATATAGAGAATAGTGGTTCCAGAGCTGCGTAAAATGGGGAGTGACACCTAATAAGTACAGGATTTCTTTTTGAAGTGGTAAAAGTTTTCTAAAATGGTTTGTGGTAATGATTGCACAACTCTGAGATGATACTAAAAGCCATGGAATGGTGTATTTTAAATGAGTCAATTGTATAGTATGTGAAATATATCTTGACAAAGCTGTTTCAGGAATACCTCAGAGATATTATGGGTTCAGCTTTTCCTTTGCATTCACAACTTGGCTGTTTGATGCAAGAGACCTAGATTTTCACCTGTGTCGACTCTCAACATGCCTTTCTTACTTAATCATTTCTAGCCTTTGATTTAAAGTGACAGTTGTGCAACTCTTCCTTTCACTTGAAGACTTAGAGGCCACTGTAGGGTTATTAATTGGCCTAATTTTAGTATCGTTGTGTCTCAGTAGACATAGAGTGGCCCAAAGAAAATGGCCTGAAGACAGGGAGAGAGATGAGGGAACAGCCGGTAGTGGAGCAGTCAGAACACACACATTTATTAGTTCAATTCACTTTTTCATATGGGCAGGATCTATGGTACTCCAAAACAATTACAAAATTAGAATCAAGGTAACTGATCACAGATAACTATACCAGATATAATAATAAGAAAAAATCTGAAATATTGTGAGAATTACCAAAATGTGACAGACACAAAGTGAGCACATATACTTCAAATATCCATATAATGTATTGAATTTATAAAACTACATGAAGTCTTTATTGTGATATGTAACTAATTTGAAATTAAAATAAAACAGTCATATTTTATATTTTTGATATCAAATAAGTTAGGATGGTAATTCTAGAGTTGGAAATGCTGTTGGAAAATGACTGCCAAAGAATTGCTTGATGCAAGATTACCACTAAGCTTCAATTTGTAAAAAAGACAATTATCTGTGAAGCACAATAAAATGAAGTACAAAAATGAAATGTGCCTGTATTTTTAAAAATGATATACAAATGGCCAATGAACATGTAATTAGATGCCCAATATCATCAGTCAGGAGGGAAACAGAATTAAAACCACAAAGAAATACCACAACACACCCATTAGAATGATTAAAACTTAAAACACTGCCAATACCAGATGTAGCAAAGATATAGAGTAACTGGATCTTTCACACATTGCTGGTGAAAAAGTGCAATGGCAAAATTACTTTGGGTAGCAATTTAGTAGTTCCTTACAAAAGTAAACATATACATAAGACTCAGCAATTCAACTCCTAGATATTCACTCAAGAGAAATGATAAGGTGTTGGCCTGGCTCAGTGGCTCACACCTGTAATCCCAGTACTTTGGGTGGCCCAGATGGGAGGATCACTTGAGGCCAAGAGATTGAGACCAGCCTGATCACCATAGCGAGATTAATCTCTAATTAACTTTAAAAAAATAAAATAAAAACTTACAGAGAGAAATGATAACATTCTCCACAAAAAGGCTTGTATAAGAATATTCATAACTTTTATTCACAATAAGAAAAAACTGGGGAAAAAATCCAGAGGAATTGATAAACAAACTGTGGCATAGCCATACAATGCAAAATTTCTTAGCAATAAAAAGAAATGAACTAGTGATACACACAACATCATGAATGTATCTCAGAAATGTTATGCTGAGTAGAAGAGGGCAGACACAAAAGAACTTACACTATTTGATTCCATAGGTGAAATCCTAGGACAGGGGAAACATAAAGTATACAGTGATATAAAGTAGACCAGTGGTTGTCAAGGACCGGGGGTAGGTTAGTGAGGAGGAGAGGTGGGATAGAGGGAGAATGTCTACAAAGGGGCACAAAGAAATGTTTTTATGATAGAAATACTCTGTATCTTAATTGTAGTGGTAGTTTCACAGGCAGATATGCTTATCAAAATTCATCAAACTGTACAGTTAAAATAGGTGCAGTCTTCCTGGACTGGCAACATTTGTGTATATTGTGATACATCAATGGCAAAAGAGTTATGTATCCTGGGGACAATGAAATCTTCACATTTGGAGCCCTCCTAGGGTCCATCAAAAGCATCTTTTTCTTTGGCTAATATGTGTCCTTTCCCTTAGTAAACCATATGTGTGAGTACAATACAAACAAAACAGGTATAGTTTTATTTTATGTAAATTATACCTCATAAAATTGATTTGGGAAAAAAATGCCTATAGGGCCAACTAAATAATGTAAATTAGTAAAATGTATGGCTACTGCTTAAATCACAATCTTTGTTTGTATAGATGAACTTTGTATTATTTTCTTCCAAAATGTAGTTTATAATTTTAATTTTGTTTTTGCTTTTGCTTTTATTAGAGATATTGGTATAAGAAACATTTTACTTTCCTCTTATACCTAAATGTAAGACAAAAGTGTCAAATGTCAACTAGCAACAGGCTTTGATTTGTAAGTCCTGGAAACTGTGGTGGGCTGGAGAGTGCATGGTCTGTTTAAAGTGGTAAGCTGCTAATGGCTCCAGCCAATTGTTGTCATATCAGACTCTGAGTCCAGTTTTTGAAATTTTAAAGATAAACTCAAAATACATATTATATATGTAAAATCTCCCAAATTTTAAATGTTGGTAATTGGCCAGGCACGATGGCTCACGCCTGTAATCCCAGCACTTCAGGAGGCCAAGGTGGGTGGATCACCTGAGGTCAGGAGTTCAAGACCAGCCTGGCCAACATGGTGAAATCTCATCTCTACTAAAAATACAAAAATTAGTTAGGCACGGTAGTGCATACCTGTAGTCCCAGCTACTCATGAAGCTGAGACAGGAGAATTGCTTGAACCCAGGAGGCGGAGGTTGCAGTGAGCCACGATAGTGCCAGCCTGGGTGACAGAGAAAGACTCTGTCTCAAAAAAAAAGTTGTTAACTAATTAAAATACCATATGAGTCAATAATATGTGGGCTGAATAGGATCCAAGTGCCACTTTTCAGATATTCTCTAGTGGTAATCTAGTATGTCTAGCCGGTGAATAGAAACTGTTTATTATTTCAGTTTTTTCATTATTTCCCTTTATTATTATTGACCATTTGGCATGGATTCCAGATATAGTTATTGCTTTTTAAACTTCAGAATTATATTGCTATACATTTAACTATACTGTTAAACATTCATTTTTTTACAAATTGAAGTTCTGTGGCAATCTTGCATCAAGTCTATTGCGGCCATTTTCCAACAGCATTTTTAACTTCAGAATTATCATAACTTATTGGATATCAAGAATATCAAATATGAATGATATGTTTTATTCTAATCTCAAATTAGTTACATATTACAGTAAAGATTTCACATAGTTTTATATATTTAATACATTATATGGATATTTGAAGACCTCATAAAATCTTCTCCCTTTTCTTTTGTCTACTAACCTGACATAATCTTATTTAGCATTCTTATTCCACCATGGGTACCATTTAGGCCTGAGATGGACTGGTGTGCATTTGCTTGATATAGTCTATTTATCTGTTCTCTTTCCTAGCTATCCAAACATCTCTGTCTTCTGTCTTTTTAAAAAATTTATTTTACATTACTTCTTGTTCTTTTTATAAGGAATATTTCAAGAAGTAAGAAAGCAGATTTTCCTAGGTTACCTTTGAATCTGAATTTGTGTTACCACTTTCGTTACATTACTAGTAAGCCACAGGAGTACACTATAGAAATGAGTGGAATCAGAGACAGGGATATAATGACAGTTAATTGTCTATCATGTATTTATCCCAAGGAGCACTTATACATCTGTTATATATTTTGGTATTTGCTACTTGTAGGTTTTTTGTGATTAAAAATATAATTTGAACTTTTATTTTAGATTTAGGACTACATAGGAAGGTTTGTTACCTGGGTATATAGGGTGATGCTGAGGTTTGGGCTATGACTGATCCCATCACCTAGGTACTGAACATAGCACTCAATAGTTTTTCAACCCTTTCCCCCACTTCCCTCCTCTAGTAGCCCCCAGTTTCTATTGTTACCATCTTTATGTCTATGGGTACCCAATGTTTAGCTCCCTCTACAACATGCAGTATTTGGTTTTTCCATTCCTGCATTAATTCACTTAAGATCATGGCCTCCAGCCACATCCATGTCACTCCAAAGGACATGATTTCATTCTTTTTTATGACTCTGTACTATTCCATGGTGTGTATGTACCACATTTTTTTAATCCAATCCAGCGTTAATGGGCACCTAGGTTGATTTCATGTCTTTGCTATTGTGAATAGTACTGTGATGAACATATAGGTGCATATATGAGGTGAAAGACCTCTACAAGGAGAACTACAAAACACTGCTGAGAGAAATCACAGATGACACAAATAAATGGAAAAACATTGCATGCTTATGGATTGGAATAATCAATATAGTTAAAATGGCTATACTGCTCAAAGCAATATGCAGATTCAACACTATTCCTATTAAACTACCAACATGATTTTCCACAGACCTAGGAAAAACTATTTTAAAGTTCATATGGAACCAAAAAAAAAACCTGAGTAGCCAAAACAATCCTAAGCAAAAAGAACAAAGCCAGAGGCATCACATCACCTGATTCCAACTATACTATAGGGCTACGGTAACCAAAATGGCAAGGTACTGATACAAAAATAGACACAGGACTAATGGGACAGAATAGAGAACCTAGAAATAAAGTCACACACCTACAGCCATCAGATCTTGAACAAAGTCGACAAAAATAAGCAAAGGAAAAAGAACTCCCTATTCAATAAATGGTGCTGGGATAGCTGGCTATACAGAATAATAAAACTGGATCCCTACCTTTCACCATATATAAAAATTAACTCAAGAAGGAGTAAAAATTTAAATGTGAGAACTTAAACTATAAGAATTCTAGAGGAAACACCCTTCTGGACATCAGCCTTGGGAAAGAATTTATGACTAAGTCTTCAAAAGCAATTGCAACAAAAACAAAAATTGCCAGGTGGGATCTAAGTAAACTAAAGAGCTTCTGCACAGCAAAAGAAACTATCAACAGAGTAAACAGACAACCTACAGAATGGGAGAGATTAATCACAAACTATGCATCTGACTAAGATCTAATATCCAGAATCTACAAGGAATTTAAACAATTGAACAAGCCAAAAATAACCCCATTAAAAAATGGGCAAAAGACATGAACAGACAGTTATCAAAAGAAGACTTACAAGCGGCCAACACACATGAAAAAAGTGCTCAATGTCACTAATTATCAGAGAAATGCAAATCAAAACCACAATGAGTTACCATTTCATACCATTCAGAATGGCTACTATTAAAAATTCAAAAAACAATAGATGCAGTAAGGCTGTGGAGAAAAGAGAACACTTATACACTAGTGGTGGGGGATGTAAATTAGTTCAGCCACTGTGGAAACAGTTTGGAGATTTATCAAAGAACTTAAAACAGAACTATGTTCTATCCAGCAATCCTATTACTGTGTATATGTTTAAAAAATATATTGTTCTGTCTTCTGTCTTTGAAACATGCCTTGCTGATAACATTTCTTATTCAGATTCCTTAACTCCTTAGACCAATCTCCCAACATAGACAATAATTTCTAAAATTTATTTTTAAATATGTTCATTATTCTATAATAAACTATAAACACTCCGAAATCTGGCTGGGCACAGTAGCTCATGCCTGTAATCCCAGCATTTTGGGAGGCCTAGGCAAGCAGATCACTTGAGGTCAGGAGTTCGAGACCAGCCTGGCCAACTTGGTGAAACCCCGTCTCTACTAAAAATACAAAAATTAGCTGGGTGCAGTGGTGGACACTTGTAATTCCAGCTACTCGAGAGGCTGAGGCAAGAGAATCACTTGAACCTGGGAGGCAGAGTTTGCAGTGAGACTCATGCCACTGTGCTCCAGCCTGGGCAACAGAGTGAGACTGTGTCTCAGAAAACACACACACACACACACACACACACACACATGCTAAATACATTTAATTTACTATTAATATAATACCATATATAGCAACCAAAATGGCTCAAGACATAAATACTCAAAAGTCATTTTTGCCTTTTTAAGTTGTACAGTAAAAAATGAATTAGTAAATTTTAAGTAACAAAGGAAGATTCTCTATTGTTGAAGAGAGACATTACTGAATGCCAATGTTCAGCTGTTAGGTCAAAAAACAATTACAGCAAAATGCTGACCTGTGTCTAGGCTGAGTGAACAGAAATTGCTAGTAATTTAATCGTTTATAAAAGGAAACAAAATCACTTTAAATGAGAATTGCTAGAAATTTAAAAACTGAGACTATAGAATTTTAGGACATAATGAGATTGTAGGATTAACTAGTCAAACTTCATCATTTTTATTTTTCAAGAAAATGGGACCTAGAGAAATCCAAAGTCATAAATTCTGGCAGAGCCAGGGCCTATATGGAATGCAAAAACCTAATGATTTTCCTAATTACCTAGAGGAAATCCAGAATCTAATATTTTCACATTCTGAAAATGTTTACATGACTAACATTTACTATTATGTACTTACCTTCCAATTGAAATACTTTTGAAGGCAAAAATAGCTCCATTTTATTGTCATTAGAAGATAGATCATCAAGACATAAATCCGTATTCAGATGTTCCAAAGTTTGCATCATTTTCAGATTTAGTCCTGCTTGTTTCCACCACTCTGTGTTTACGGGATTAATAATAAGGCTTTCTTCTTTAACAGATAATATCTTTTTCAAATCGGTAACTGAATATTGGCTGTAGGGCTCTTGAATTCTTGGTACTTACAAAAAAATAGAAACAATTAGTTAGACACAGTCTACAAAGCAAAAGAAACAAAACACAATAAAAAGAACCACACTGGAATTTCTTTATGAAATGCATTTTCATGCATTAGGAAAAAAGTAAAACTTAAAGTTATATCTGGTATTTTTGTTTTCAAGATGCTAATATTTGTAAAAGTTCAAGCTATTATAACAGTAGAAGTCACATAAAGGATTTATTCCACTGTGAAAATATCGAGAAGTTAAAATTATTCTAATATTTGATATGAGAAGGAACTCTTATTTTGTTTGACCATTTTCAATTACTAAATTAATACATTTGATTAACATTTTGAAGTAATATAAGCTTTATTAAATTCTAACTCATTATAATAAGCCTAAACAAGAAGATATATTTTTTCAGCTTTTATGATGACTATATTATCTAAGATATTGTGGTACAGAGCTTACTGCCTCATTACTTTTTAGCCTAAATAGGGAGAAATCATAACATAGGGAGGAACTGAAGTAGCATAACTACCTAATATTATTTATCTGTATTATAAGCATCAACCTGAAAATAGGATTATAAATTTTGAAACCCTAATTTTGGAATGGTGTTTTCTAATGACAGGAATATTAAGAAGAAATCAAAACTTAAAATAAAAATACTAATATTAATAACAGTAATTACAAGTTACTAAAAAACATCTGGCACTATGCTAAGTGCTTTCTTTATATAGATTATTCTTTTTTTTTTGAGATGGAGTTTCACTCGTTTCCCAGGTTGGAGTGCAGTGGCGTGAGCTCAGCTCATGGCAACCTCTGCCTGCCTGATTCAAGTATTTCTCCTACCTCAGCCTCCTGAGTAGCTGGGATTACAGGTGCCCACCACCTTGCCCAGCTAATTTTTTGCATTTTTAGTAGAGATGGGGTTTCACCAAGTTGAGTAGGCTGGTCTCCAACTCCTGACCTGAGGCAATCCACATTCCTCCATGTCCCAAAGTGCTGGGATTACAGGCGTGAGCTACTATGCCTGGCCTATATGCATTATTCTTAATTAATCCCTAAATAATTCTGTAAGATAGATATAATTTTAACTAGCTTTATTAAAGTATAACTGACATGCAATAAACTACACATAGAGTGAAAAGTTTGATAAGTTTTGACATATTTATACATTCGTGAATCCATTACTACAGTCAAGGTAATGAATATATCCATTCCCTTCAAAGTTTGCTCCTGCCTCTTTATACCTCTCTTCTAATCTTCCTCATCCCCCAGTCCCACTGTTCTGCTTCCTGACACTATAAACTGCATTTTCTAGAATTTTATATAAATGGAATTATACCATATGAATGCTTTTTTTGTGGTTTCTTTCATTCTGCATAATTATTTTGAAATCATCTATTTTGTATGTATCAACAGTCCATTTCTTTTATTCAGATAGAAAATAATTGTAGATTCACATGTAGTGGTAAGAAATAATATAAGATGTCTTGTTCCCTCCTTTTTTTGTTTTCAAAGTATATTATACTATGTAATTGATAATTCAAATATATAATCTGATTTTGATGTCTAATGTTTCTGCTTTATCTCACTGGTGATCCCGATATATATTGTGATTTTTGTCTATTAGCATGTGTTTCTTTCAATTTTGTGGAAGGTCTTTGAAGCCTGTGTTGAAGTATATTCCTCAGGAAAAAATTTCCTCTAGAAAGGATTTATCTTTGTTTATGTGTTTGGGAGGCCTGTCTGCCTGGGACCACTTTAAATTAAATCACCACTATTTTTTCAAATTATATAGGTGGTTTGAATTCAGACTGCAACCAGGCATGATGGCTGCCTTCTGGTTAGAAGTACTTAAGGGAAAGTTTTTTTCTTTTCTTTTCTTCCAGCTCCAAGGTAGAAATAGGCAAATTTATTTGGAGTTCCCTTCTATATGGTGGTTTATTTTTGTATGCTCTTATTTTAATGGTAGTTTCTTGAACTCCAAGTTTTATGTAGGGTTTCCCTATTAGATTCAACATGAAGGATATTTCTTGACTCTACACTACATACAGACTTCAAAACAGAAGTTCAAAGTCTCCTAGGTTTAATAGAGAGCCTGGAGGGAGAGCCAGCTTTGGTGCTTACTTGCTCCCCAGGATTCCTGTTTTCACTTTGTTTTCGGCCTCCAAATGCAACTCAGTGATTCATTTAAAAAATTTTTAAAAGAATACCTTATCCAAAATTCCATTCACATAATGGATAGTTCAGACACAGACAAGAGTTTAATTTACTCAAGTAAATTTTGAATGTACATGTGAAATGTATATTCACTTCAAAATTATTTTGTTAAACTATAAACAAGTTTTGCTAAAATGCTTTTATTGATTTATTTTTGAGATGGAGTCTCGCTGTGTTGCTCAGGCTGGAGTGCAGTGATGATCTCAACTCCTGCAACTTCCACCTCCCTGGTTCAAGCGATTCTCCTGTCTCAGCCTACAGAGTAGCTGGGACTACAGGCGCATACCACCACACCCAGATAATTTGGTATTTTTAGTATAGAGGGGTTTCAATATATTGGCCAGGCTGGTCTCAAACTCTTGGCCTCAATTGATCCACCCATGTCAGCCTCCCAAAGTGCTGGGATTACAGGCGCGAGCCACAGTGCCCGGCCGTTTGTTTGTTTTTCTGTGTGTGTGTGTTTTTTTTTTGTTGTTGTTGTTTGGTTGGTTGGTTTCTTTTTCTTTTTGAGACGGAGACTCGCTACGTTCCCAGGCTGGATTGCAATGGCGCGATCTCGGCTGACTGAAATCTCCGCTTCCCAGGTTCAAGAGATTCTCTTGCCTCAGCCTCTCAAGTAGCTGGGACTACAGGCACGCCCCGCCATGCCCGGGTAATTTCCAGCCGTTGTTAAAACGTTTTAAGTGTCCTTTTTGGAAAGCTTGGGAAATGAAACATTTTAACTTTGGATGTGATTTTTTTTAAACAAACAACTCACAACCTTGGAAATAGAAATTACGTATATGGGACTGTTTTGTGTACTACTTGTATTTCATTTCTTTTCTTTTCCTTCTCCCATGTGTAGGAATTATCCAGAAAATCAGCAGGATCCAGATCTTGTCATATACTTCTGTACCTAGCATAATGAACCTTATAGAAGGTATCTTGATATTTTACCTTTAGGCTAAGTTACATATTCTGTGTTAAGAAATGGCCAAAGAAAAAGGATGCCCCACATTTCTACTGGTTGTATAGGTACCTTTTAACCTATACTTTCTATTTATCATTTAAAAGCAATTAATCTTTACCTGTAAGCAAAAATGAGTTCAAAGGGCTTCTACAGCTTTCTAATTGCCACATCATGTAGTATTTATTAGCTGATTCTTCAGCAGTAAGCAAGTTACTGAAAAAAGGAGTTAAAGTTTAACACATTAATAATATTGAGTCTTTGGTATAATAAAATTTTGTTTTTAAAAAGTATTTTTAAAGTACTTTTTACACTCAAAATCAAGTGAAAAATTAACTTTATAAATGTGTAAACTGCAGTAGAGTTCCATAGACCAAATGTCAAATACAGTACTCATTTTCTCCATCCCTGGGAAGGTTTGGCAATTTGTAAACTCAATTGTTCCTAATTGACTATAAATTACTCCCACCTTTACCTCCCTCAGTGGCACCTGGAGCCAGAGAGGGCTGACACAGGAGGGTTTTAGCACTTCCCTGCATAAACTATGCTAGCACCAATTTTCTACACCACCCAAAATAAAAATACAATCTAAGTAAAATTATCATGCTTACCATGAAAATAGCAACTTCATTTATTAAACAGGGAATCTGAACCTGGAAACCATCATTCTCAGCAAACTGACCCAAGAACAGAAAGTCAAACACCAAATGTTCTCACTCATAGGCCAGTGTGACAATGAGAACACATGCACACAGGGAGGGGAGAATTACACACTGGGGTCTGTGGCGGGGGTAAAGAGGGGAGGGACTTCAGGGGGTGGGGAGTTGGGGAGGGATAACATGGGGAGAAATGCCAGATATAGGTGATGGGGAGGAAGGCAGCAAACCACAGTGCCACGTGTGTACCTATGCAACAATCTTACATGTTCTTCATATGTACCCCAAACCTAAAATGCAATAAAAAAATTCTAAATAAAAGATTGAAAGAAAAAAAAAAGAAAATAGCAACTTCAACAAAAATTTTTACATAATTGCTGTCCCAAGTCCCTTCCATATATATAGAAATTCTGGATCCTCTACTGGCTGAGGATCAGTACTATGAAAAAGTCCTTCTCTGGAGATGGCAGAGTCCTAAAGTTTAGTTCAAGACCTTCAGTCTTGGTGGGTTTGTGAGTATGTGATGTGTGTTTGTTTGTGTTTAGGGGTACTGGGGGCAGAAGGGAGGAAATACGCATAACAGTTAGTGTAAATTACAGCTTATCTGTAGCTATGAAGCTACTAGCCTTGGTAGGGGAAAGATTATTAATTCATAAACCCCTTAATCTGTGCCCTAAACCTCCTGCTAGCCTGAGTGAGAATTGATTGTATTCGGTTTCTTTGTTCATATGGAACATATAAGAGCATGCTCATAATTAATAAGTACTGCCAGTTAAATTGACAGTCTAGGGCAGTGGAAAGCTAGGTTTTATGTCTAAGGCATTCAGTTTACCTGCATAATCCAAAAATCTGGTCATGCTGTAGAAAATTTGAGAATCTAGGCAATTCTTGAATCTTACCAAGGGTTCTTTGACAACACCTCAGATTGTCAGCAACTATTTTAAAGTGAAAGGAAGGGGTAATACTTAGCAAGCCATGTCCAATATAGACATATTTCACTCTTAATGATGCTTTCTGAAGACATGTCTGAATTTGATACATCGTTTGTTCATAAAAATATATTCACAAGTCGGCAGTTAGTTAGTAGGTTAATAAAATCTCATGCCATACAGACTTTTCTTTTTTAGCACACAAAACCTAGCATAGAATCTCACATGTGGTAGGCACTAAAAATATTGTTAACTGGGTATTATTTTCAGCCAAAGTGTTGTGTTCTGAAATAAAAATAATTGATACCTTGAAAATAAGTTAAAGCTATAATAACATTCCTTATTATTTTCCCTTCCTTTAAAAAAAATCTTAACACTTTTTCTCCTTGTTTTTAGTCTTGCAGTTGAGATATACAGTAGTTCCCCCTTATCCATGATTTCCCTATACTCAATTTCAGTTATCTGTGGTAAACCACATCCCCAAATATTAAATAGAATATTCCATAAACAATTCATAAGTTTTAAATTGCACTATTGTGAGCAGTGTGATGAAATTTCATGCCACCCTACACCATCTCACCCAGAATGTGAATCATCCCTTCACCCAGCATATCCACACTATATATACTCACTACCTGCCCATTTGTCACTTAGTAGCATTCTCAGTTATCAGATCGGCTGTTGCTTATGTTCAAGTAACCCTTACTGAATTTAATAATGACTCCAAAGCACAAGTGTAATGATACTTGTATTTATTATGGTCGTTCTATTTTATTATTAGTTATTAATGTTAATGTCTTACTATGTCTAATTTATAAATTAAATTTTATCATAGCCATGTATATATGAGAAAAAACAGCACATATAGGGTTTGATAACATCTGCAGTTTCAGACATCCATTTAGGGTCTTGGAAATTATTCCCCCTGGATAAGGGGGGAACTACTGTCAACTCATTTTAAAATACAGATTTTTAAGCTTTTACAGTCACCAAACCAATGAAAGTGATTTATCTCTTGCTCATAAATGGAGTAGTAAGGGAACAACTTCTTTCAGTTGTTTCAAATAACTCTAAAACCATTAGCAATTTGAAAGACTTTTTTGTTCTAACTTTGCCAAATCATTAGTTAAGATTTGTTTCATAAATTCTTATGAGACATTTTAGTTGTAACAATAGACATATAACATGTGATTAAAAAGAGCTTATTAGGGTTTATATAGTTTTAATATCAGATTGAAATTAAAGATTACAGTAATTTCTGCTAGTGTCTGTTTCTAAATATGCCAATCTGCCATAACAGATGGATTATGGTATATGGAGTAAAAAAAAGAGTAAAAGGGCACTAATAAAGACCGCACATGTCCTGCAAATAAACATCTCGCACCTTAGCAAGGGAACTAAAAGTATTTAAACAAATTATATGCAGTTTCCATACTTGTCCTGTGCAATTTGTAGGGCTCATATCTAATATGGACAAGTCTTAGTTCACGTATAGCACACTCTGTATAACACAAATTTGCTCCAGAAATGTAAATAGTTCTTAGCTAGAAGATAAAGACATATTTAGGGCCCTCAGTCTCATGCTTTGGCACTTTCCTGAGACCATTAATAGAAGCCTAAGCAGCCAGTGATAAATTATAGAGCCTTGACTTCAGTTGCTCCCAGTAATCCAAATAGCACTCTCCTCTGGCAGATGAGCTAATCATAACAAGAACTCAAAACCTAATACACAGCTCCCACAGTTTCCAGTCCTGGAATAATTCATTAGAGACTTGTAGACTTTACTGTCGTTTTCCTGAAAATATATTATTTTAGGACACATTAAGTTCTAAGTTTGTAGTAGACTGATTGTACTGATTATGTTCCCAATTTTGTAACTGGCATAAGAAGCAGAGGAATGGAGTGGCTTTATTCTAGGATAGCAGACCAATCAATCTCAGAGAACATTAAGTTACATGTGTGCTACACGGTTTAAGATAGCAACAAAAACTATCTCAGACTTTGTCAAAGGGCAAGATGCTGGGCGACTTAAGTTTGGCAATTTTGGCTCAAACTAGAATATAATGACATAGCCTTGCAATATCAATTCTACAATTTCAGACTATTCTGTGCAACAATGATGGTGTATTGAACAAGTTTATGAATCAACCTTGGTTCTGCATGTCTGGTTCACCCAATACTGAGACCACATTGACAGAGGTGTACAAGGTCAGTGAATGTCTTCTGTTAGAGACAGGACATGACCCTTGGTACTCTTAGTGGGAATATATTGATCAACATTGTCCACACTGCTCTGTGATCTTTGGCTATTTCTGGCCACAGACCTATGACAAATCTTTCAGTAGACCTCTTAAAAACCTTATGAGGTAGATACTATTATTATCCCAGTATTGTAGATTAAAAAAAATGGAGGCACAGAACAATTAAGATTGCAGTTAGAAAGTGATAGAGACAGGCAATCTGGCTGTAGTTCAGAGCTTCTACCCACTTATTATGGGCTGAATTGTGCCCCCACAAAATTCTTATGTTGAAGTCGTAATCCTCAGTACCTCAGAATGTGACTGTATTTGAGGAAAGGGTCTTTAAAGAGGTAATTAAGTTAAATAGGGCCACTAATAAAACATGACTGGTATTCTTATAAGAAGAGGAGACTGGGGTATAAACAATGATGGAGGAAAGAATGTATGAAGACAAAGGGAGAAGATGGACATGTATAATAAATCAAGGAGGGAGGCCTTAGAATGAATTCAACCCAGGTGACACTTTGTTCTTTCACTTCTTGCCTCCAGAACTGTGAGGAAATAAATTTCTGTAGTTTAAGTCACTTAATCTGTGGTATTTGTTATGGCAGCCCTAGCAATCTAATATACTACTACATTGCCTAATTTATAAAATAAACTTTATCATAGGTATCCATATATGAGAAGAAAACAGTATATATAGGTTGTGATAAAATCCACAGTTTCAGGCATCCATTTAGGGTCTTGGAACTTATTCTCCCTGGATAAGGGGGGACTAGTAAACTTGGTCTTTAAACCGAGTGACTGCCAGTAGAAACAGTGCCATTAGCAAGTATCCAGTGGCAATGTCCTAAGCATACTACTCCAATGTCAGGATCTTAAAAATTTTTTAATTTATTTATTTTTAATGATAATATATTCACATTAAAAATACTGAAATGTGTAAAAGGCCATATTGTGAAAAATTTCCTACCCACATTGCTAGGTTACCTAGTTCCTTTCTGAATACAACCAATATTTCTTGTTTCTTGTGTGCCCTTCTAAAGATACTCTTTGCATATAAAACCAAAGATATTCATATATTTATATATTCCTTCTAGTTACTTATTATAGACACTATACCAGCTCTTAAATTTTTTCAGAGAGGTATCTTGGAAATTGCTCTTATATGGAGAGATTTAAATAAAGACTGCTTGTTCTGAATTGCAACTTGGGTTCTAGATATAATACTTACATTTTGCAAACCGGAGATAATGGAAATGTCTGAAGTTCTGCACATAATGAATTCACTGAAGAATGCTGCCATGATAGGTCTAGAGGAGTTAGTGGCAATTCTAACTCTCCTGGAATATATGAAAATGGAAGTTATGTAAACATTGAATAATATTAAGTAGGCCAGGCACGGTGGCTCACACCTGTAATTCTAACACTTTGGGAGGCTGAGGTGGGAGGATCACTTGAGTCCAGGAGTTTAAGACCTGGGCAACATGGCAAGATCCAGTCTCTACAAAAAGTACAAAATTAGAAAGGAGTGGTGGCACATGCTTGTAGTCCTAGCTACCTGGGAAGCTGAGCTGGAAGGATTGCTTGAGCCCAGGAATTTGAGGTTGCAGTGAGCTGTGATTATGCCATTGTACTCTAGCCTGGGCAACAGAGCAAGACTTTGTCTCTAAAAAAAAAATAAATAAATAAAAATTAAGTATAATTTAGAACTTTTTGTAAGCAACTATTATGTTTGATAATTCTGTTACAACAAAAATATTTCAATAAAAAGAAATTTGAGTTGAGATACAAAATAAATGTCCATCTATATAAGGAATTACATATATATCACATTCTCAACTACAATTGTGGTGATTTTTAAAAAATACCTTGATAGTTAAACTTGACTGAGTTTACTCTGTTTCAGATAAATTCTGAGAGCTTTATATATTAAGGCTTTTGATTCTGACAGCTTGTGTTGTCAGTACTTAGGTGATAGAATTATTTTTATTTCCAAAGAAAGAAAAAAATAATTATTTGTATTTTCATACTATTCGTGATGTTAAACAAACTGTATTATAAAGAGTAATTATTCATCTTAATGACTCTGAACTCTAGATGGCCTAGCACAGAATTATATATTTATATGGTAGACTTGAAAAACTAATTTTCATGTATTGATAACTAGTGGGCGTGTTTTCATTACTTTCATGAATAAAGCAGTAGACTTTCAAATAGATAATTCAGATGATCCAATTATAAATGTAATTAAGTAAGAGTGCCATTAACATAGTTAAGAAGCAACACAATTTGGCATTGTACTGGAACAAAAGATGATTCTGAGATTCCAAATTTGGTAGAATAATGATATTAAAAATAATGATGACACAGAGAATAAGATTGCTTTGAGAGATTAAAAATTCAAAAATTTTAAAAATGTCACAGTGATCAGCAAGATTGCTAATATTGAGATAAAATATGAAATTTTATTTACTGAGCTATACTATTTTAGGGTTTCTATTTTTAATATTAACACTGTTTCCTCCATTCCTCTTCCACAATCTTCGTAACTCCCATTTATGTATTATTCAGTTTGTTTGTTTGTTTGTTTTGAGACAGAGTCTAGCTCTGTCACCCAGGCTGGAGGGCAGTGGTGCAATCTCAGCTCACTGCAACCTTCACCTCGCCAGTTTAAGCCATTCTCATGCCTCAGCCTCCTGAGTATCTGGGATTACAGGCATGTGCCACCACACCAGCCTCGCTAATTTTTGTAATTTTAGTAAACATGTGGTTTTGCTATACGGGCTGGTCTCGAACTCCTCATCTCAAGTGATCTGCCCACCTCAGCCTCCCAAAGTGCTGAGATTATAGGTGTGAGCCACCATGCCCAGCCTATTATTCAGTTTTGATTCCAGTAGGATTCTGAGTTAATGATAGTAATAAAGGGGCAAATAAGAAAAAATGACATAGGATTAAAACAATCAAATTTTAAGCATGGAAACTGACTCACGGTACACTGTATATGCAAATGTACTGTACTTTTACAACATAAATAGGTAATCCCCGAGAAGCTCAATGATTTATCAAAATTTCTACCTGGTTTACTGCACTTTTCTGGTTCACTCTGGCTTTGAATGGCCAAAATTTCTGCGGAGCTGAATTTTATATCCCCGATATCCTCAATTCCGTGCTTGTTAGTAAGATCTAAAAAGGAAGAAACTCTACTATTAGCAAGTGTACAATTAAATTAAATTTTTTGTAACTTTGTTTGGTGGCATTTTCCTTTTAAAGTATCTTTATTGTTTTATTTCATGTCAATTTTTCATTTTAGAGAGAAGCAGATTTATACTTCTGAAGAAAATGCTAACTTAGGTGAGTAACTATTCCCCCATGCACACCCCTTGTTACCCCTCAAATGTCAATCAAAATTACCAAAGGGAAATAAAAATGGAAAAATCTACATAATCACTGGAAGGTAAGATAGGGTGGGTAATCCATAAGCCGCAAACTTAAAGAATGAAATCAGTTTGAAGGGTTTCATCTCTATTGATATGTGATGACTTCCTTTGCCTTGCTTAGCTGGAACTCTACTTCTCTATATTAATATTGCCACTTTGGCTTTCGCTTTTCTTTTTTTTATCTTCCTTCTTTCCTCCCTCTCTTTTTTCCTCACTTCTTCCATCCTTTCCAGCTGTCTGACACATTTTACCTTTTATCTCCTTCCTTCCCTCCTTCCCTCTTCCTTTCCCTCCCTTCCTCCTTCCTTCCTTTTCCTTTCTCTCTCTCTCTTTCCTTCCTTCTTTCTCTCTTTCATTTCTCCATCCTCATTCCTTTCTAGCTGTCTGACGCATTTTGCCTATCCCTTTTTTATCTTTTGGATTTCTTTCTTCCCTCCCTCCTTTTCTTCCTGCTTTCCTTCTCCTCCCTGGATGTCTGACACATTTTGCCTATCCTTTTATTTTCCCCTCCCTCCCTCTTTTCCTTCCATCTCCAGATGTCATAAATTTTGCCTATCCCTTTATTTTTTACCTTTTGGTTTTTTTTCTCTCTCTTTCCTTCCTTCCTTCCTTCCTTCCTTCCTTCCTTCCTTCCTTCCTTCCTTCCTTCCTTCCTCCCTTTCTTCCTTCCTTCCTTCCTTCTTGGCTCAACTCTTGTAAACACCATACATGGTGGTTCTTTATGGTAAGACATTTTCTTTTTTTTTTTTTGTATTTTGTTGTTTGTGAAATTGTGATGCATCTTACAATCTGTATGTGCATTTAGAATGTTTCCTTCTTCCCTAAAAATTCTTAAGTTGATAATATATCTTGCAGTTGATAGGATCTTTGAATCAGACATATGGTCATTATATTTCCTTTTTAAATTTAATCTAAGAATCAGTCTCTTTTTTAATAGAGAAGCTTAACCTATTTACGTTTATTTAAACAAAGGCGATACTTTTATAATCTTATTTTATGCTTCCAATGCCTTTCGCTTGCTTTGCTCTCCTTTATTTCCATAGAATTAAATCTATTGTTCAGAGTTTTTTTTCTTTGTTAGTTTGGAAATTATACATTTTTTTTTTCAACTTTTATTTTAAGTTGAAGGTACATGTGCAGGACGTGCAAGATTGTTATATAGGTAAGCATGTGCCATGTGGTTTGCTGCACAGATCATCACATCACTAAGGTAGTAAGCCCAGCATTCATTAGCTATTCTTCCTGATGCTTTTCCTCCTCATATGTCACCCTCTGAAAGGCCCCAGTGTGTGTTGTTCCCCCCACCGTGTGTCCACGTGTTCTCATTATTCAGTTCCCATTTATAAGTGAGAACATGCAGTGTTTAACTTTCTATTCCTGCATTACTTTGCTGAAGACAATGACTTCCAAGTCTATCCATGTCCCTGCAAAGACATAATCTCATTCATTTTTATGGCTGTACAGCATTTCATGGTATATACTTACCACATTTCTTTATTCAGTCTATCATTGATGGACATTTTGATTGGTTCCATGCCTTTGCTATTGTGAATAGTGCTACGATGAATATATACATGCATGTATCTTTATAATAGAATAATTTATATTCCTTTGGTTATATAGCCAGTAATGGGATTGCTGGGTCAAATGGTATTTCTGCTTCTAGGTCTTTGAGGAATCACCACACTGTCTTCCACAATGGTTGTACTAATTTACACTCCCACCAACAGTGTAAAAGCATTCCTTTTTCTCCACAACTTTGCTAACATCTGTTGTTTTTTAACTTTTTAATAATAGTCATTCTGACTGGCATGAAATAGTATCTCATAGTGGCTTTGATTTGCATTTCTCTAATGATCAGTGATGTTGAGGTTTTGTTCATCTTTCTTGGCCATGTGTATGTCTTCTTCTTTCCTCCTCCTCCTCTTCCTTTTCTTTCTTCTTCTTCTTTCCTCCTCGTCCTCCTCCTCCTCCTTCTTCTGACAGAGCCTTGCTCTGTCACCCAGGCTGGATGGAGTGCAATGGTGGGATCTTGGCTCACTGCAACCTCTACCTCCCAGGTTCAAGTAATTCTCCTGCCTCGGCCTCCTGAGTAGCTGGAACTATAGGCACATGCCAACACACCTGGTTAATTTTTGTATTTTTTAGTAGAGATGGGGTTTTACCTTGTTGGCCAGGCTGGTCTCAAACTCCTGACCTCAAGTGATCCACCCATCTCGGCCTCCCAAAGTGCTGGGATTACAGGTGTGAGCCTCTGTGCCTGGCCGTATATCTTCTTTTGAGAAGTGTCTGTTCATGTCCTTTGCCCACTTTTTAATGGGGTTGTTTTCTTCTTGTACATTTGTTTGTGTTCTTTGCAGACTTTGGATATTAGACCTTTGTCAAATGGATAGATTACAAAAATTTTCTCCCATTTTGTAATTTGTCTGTTCACTCTTATGATAGTTTCTTTTGCTCTGCAGAAGCTCTTTAGTTTAATTAGATCCCATTTGTCAATTTTTGCTTTTATTGCAATTGCTTTTGGCGTTTTCATCATGCAATCTTTGCCCATGCCTATTTCCTGAATGGTATTGCCTAGATTTTTTTCTAGAGTTTTTATAGTTTGGGGTTTTACATTTAAGTCTTTAATCCATCTTGAGTTACTTCTTGTATATGGTGTAAGAAAGGGATCCAGTTTAAATTTTCTGCATATAGCTAGCTAGCTCTCCCAGCACAATTTATTAACCTTTCCCCATTGCTTATTTTTGTCAAGTTGTTGAAGATCAGATGCTTGTACATGTGTGTTCATATTTAAGTTCTCTATTCTGTTCTATGGTCTATGTGTCTGTTCTTGTACCAGTAACATGCTGTTTTGGTTACTGGTGCCTTATATCATAGTTTGAAGTTGGGTAACATGATGCCTCCAGCTTTGTTCTTTTTGCTTAGGATTGTTTTGGCTATTTGGGATGTTTTTTGGTTCCATACAAACTGTTTGCCTGTTGTTGGTGTATAGGAATGCTAGCAATTTTTACACATTGATTTGGTATCCTGAGATGTTGCTGAAGTTGCTTATCAGTTTAAGAAGATTTTGAGCTGAGAATATCTTATTTTAAATCAATGCATTATCATTAATAATATATGCATTTCAATTTTTATTTTTTCTATCTATTAAAAAAGGCTGCATCTCAGTTCTCCTATTTTTTAAATGAGAAACTTACCATATTTTTTCACCAAAACTTTCTCTTTTTGAAACAGATTAATCTAATAAAAGCTGAAATCTCTGAGATACTGATGTTTCAAATGAGATTATAATTGATTTCTTTCAAAATTATCTGGCTTTTGGTTTAAGAAAGCAGGAAAACATATATATTAGTTCTCCCTTCTAAATCCTATAGAATGACAGTAACCATCTATAAAATGTATAAAGTGAGAAGAGGAAGGAAAATTCATCTGCCGTCCAGAGTTATTAATAGAATTCTAGGAGATAAAAAGAAAATTAAAAACTAATATATAAAACAATGGAATTTTACTTTTAGCAATAGCTCCTTTGGGCCAATCTTCCTGTAGACAGCATTTATAACATTTATAACTCTGAACAAAATACATAAAATGACTGTCTGAAGGTACTACAGTCTAAAGCAGGCAGAAATGGGAAGGGGACTGATACTGAGTGAATTTCCTATTTTTATAGCTTTTCACCTGAAGGGATCACCTATTTGGTACTACCTGGGTCAACTAGAACTTGGATAAAAATCTGCAGTCTTATTATCTTGAAGAATTAGAGGACATCTCTACCTGAATTAGAGTTCATGATTACCACAACAGTTGGAAGATAAAGGAGGAAATACAGGAAGGGAGAGAGCAACAGAAGAGGAACCCCAAACTCTATGTATGTACTCTGTGTAATAAATCTCAGGATGATCCCTGAACTACACACGTATGGGGCAGATTGAAAGCATATCAGCTAAGGCTGTATATAAAGATTTCAGCTCTTTCCCACCACAGCAGAGACAAAATTTATAGTTTGAGTTAAGCCACATTAAGAGCCTACTACAACAAACAGAGAAAGTAGCTCTCTTCAAAGGAACATAGCAAACTACAGTTTCTATAATGTATCAGGTACAATGCCAGGATACAATCCAATACATTAGTAAAATGAAAAAACAGGAACATGTGACTCATTCTCTACAAAAAAATATGTCCCTGGACACTAACTGTGAGATGACTCAGATTTTGAAATTAGTATCCAAAGATTTCAAAGCAGTAATAACATAACGTAGTAATCACCATGCTAAAGGATATAGAGAAAAATATGGTTGTAATGAATGAGCAAATAGAAATTATCAGCAGTGAAAGAGAAAGTATAAAAAAGAACTAATGGAAATTTTAAAACAATATCCAAAATAAAACATTCACTGGATGGGATTCACAGAAAATTAGAGCTGACATAAGAGTCAGTGAAATTGAAGACAGAACAACAGAAATTACCCAATCTGAAAAATGATAAAGAAAATTGAATAAAAATGAACAGATGTCAGGTACAGTGGTTCATGTCTGTAATCCTAGCACTTTGGGAGGCCAAGGTGGGAGGATCACTTGTGCCCAGGAGTTCAAGACTAGCCTGAGCAACATAGTGAGACCCCGTCTCAACAATAAAAAAAGAAAGAAAGAAAGAAAAAATGAACAGAGCTTCAGTGACTGTGAGATAATTTATTTATCTAGTTTTTAAAACTATGCATCTTTGTATTTTTGTCATAAAATATAATTCTGTGGTAATCAAGAACTATTCACAAAGCAATACCCTTGTTCACTTGCCTTCAATGATGAATTCCATCAAACATTTAAAAAAAATCAACATCAATTATTTAGTCACTCCTAAGAATAGAAGTGAATGATCCTTAAGTCATTCTATGAGGCCAATATTATTCTAATACC